TCACTTAAAAAAATTGTCATTTTTAAGTGATAATATCATTACAATTGTCATTATTATTAATAAATTATTTAGTAACGCATTAAATAATTAACCTGTTGATCGAAAACTCTAAAATAGTATTACGTTTTTTTAAATTTAAAAATATAAGTTAACAATGACGTTTAAGAGATTCAAGAGATTCATGGAAAGTTTATCGTTTATTTGTTTTTTGCACTTTGTATTTTACATTTTGATTCATTTTTTTCAAATCATATTTCATATTTTAATATATGCAAGTTATGTAGAAATTAAAAATGGGCAAAAAAAAGCATAATTATCGTTACAGAGTTATTAATTATTATATAAATTTCTATATTAATAATACTAAAATCGGAGCCTAAAAAACTAAGACTAAAATCCACAAATTGCTCCTCTATTAGTGGTAAAACCGCTGAAACACCAAAATCCCAAAAACTTGCAAACAGGTTTCGGCATAGTTAGCAGGCCTGGATCATCCCTAAAAATAAAAAGAAAGGAACGTTAGCTGGCGTTCCTATAAATAAAACAAACTCACATTCCAAATTTACCATTCGTAGTACTAGTCTCCAAGAGGAGAATTCCAGTTCGAAAGACGTCTCTAAAGAAAAAAATGAAAGGGAACGTTAGTAGCATTCCTAAAAATTCACCACCCAACTTTATCGTTTGAAGCTCCAGTTTCCAAGAGGCCGACATCCAGTTTAGAAGACGCCCTTAAAGAAAAAAAAATGAGAAGAAACGTTAGTAGTGTTTCTAAAAATAAAAAAACTCGATCAACCACTTTACCATTCGTTTCTAAGAGACCGAAATCCAGATTAATAGACGTCTTTAAAGAAAAAATAAAGGAACGTTAGCTGGAGTTCCTAAAAGAACTCACCATCCAACTTCACCATTCGAAGTTCTAGTCTCAAGAGTTGAAATTCAAGTCCAGGAAGAAAAAAAAGATGAAGAGAACGATAGTAACGTTCCCAAAGCAAACCACTGAAGGACTTATAATTTCGTAAATTCTGAGTCCAGAACGGCCCTAAAGTATTTTCGGGTTCTTTTTTGTTTTTAAATTAAACCGGTTTTTTTAAATAAAAAAAATCAGAGGGAGCGCCAGTGCGGGAGATTTTTTTTTTTTTTTTTTAAAAAAAAAATATCTTACTCAAAATTTGGAATGTGTACAAGGTATGTTACTTGGCTTAGAATAGCTTAAGGTTATGGTTAGGAGAAAAAAGATTGGTAAATCGGAATAAATCTGTAACCCGCAGATTATAGTTAACGCCGAAACTAATTACCTTCCAAGGACAGTATCGATCGATGTAAATGCACTTTGGTATTTACTAACTTATTTAAACGGTGTTAGTTGAATTGTACCGAAAGAAAGCTGACAAACCAAATAAACAATATCTCAAATAATCGAAGAACTTTCCTATGACAAACAAACGATTTGTTATGATTCACTTGTGTAGTCGATTATCACGATCAAAACATATATGAAGAAAGAAGAAGGTTGAAAGAAAGTATAAAATAGAGTTTTAAGTCTAGTCCCAAGACTTATTCTGAAAATTTATCTGAAAAATTCTGTCGAATCAAGGCCAACTATTTATATAAAATTCTGGATTAATACTAAACAACGCTTTTCTATAACAATAAAAATTAAACAATTTCATGATAATCGCCGCAGTGCTACGACATATGAGGGAGGGCCACTGTACAATTTTGAGGTTATATAATTTAATAATGATAAATTTATGAAAATTCTCTTGAATTATATATATAATATAAGTCGGGATTTCCAAAAGGATCCGAAGTGAATTTTCCTTTGGGATAGTTGAAAATCTCATTTAATGGCTTTGCAAAAAAATTTGACAAAAGTCAAAATTAGTTTCGGTTTTGGCACCTATCAAAACATTTGTATTAAGTTCATTTTCAATACGGGCTAATGTGCACAAAAATTTAACACACGAACGTTTCCTTTAATATTTCGGGCAAACTATCGAAACTAAATAATCAATAAAAACATTGAAAGTCGTAACTATATAGATATTAAAAGATTCACATCTTTTATTTCTTCAAAAATTTTTTTATTAAATAAAACGTAACAATAAATTATTACTAAAACAAGATAAATAATGTACATATTTATCTTTTAAAAACTTGAAAAACTTCATAATCATCCATGAGAAATTCTTCAGGTATACAAACATCAGGATAATAGGCGCTACTGCTCGACCAACGACCATTATTATGAAATACTAAATCACTGGTACCGCCAAACGTAGGACCATAAAGCGTATAACAACCTATAGACACTTCAACATCATTACTATAACCTACATTTACAGTTTGATCGTTCGTTTCATTTTGAAATGAGAATATAAAGCTATCATTAGTTGACTTGCATTCGTCACTTGAATCCCATTCAAGTGGATTATATCCTCCCACAATTTGCTCTGAATCTTTTATTTTTACTATAACAACTGTAGCCCCTTTGTTATCACATCCTTGATGAAATGCTGTGTGTGTCATACCATCTCGACTAGCGCGAAAAATTAAACTAAACCTAAAAGGCATGTTCCTTACATTGTAATACAATTCGTTCTTCTTATCGATCCAACTCGACAATTTGGCAAAGTGTTCAGAATTAACAAGCTTTGAATATTTATTATAATTTAGCTGTCTAGGTGGTTGTATATTAATATTTAACTTCCGATCCGGTGCCAAATAAAATGTTGAAAGGTTATTAACCAAATCATTTGGAAGCAATTTTCTGAAAGGAAGTACTTGATCAAGAAATTCATCTGATGAAATATTAAAAAATCTAATTAAAGGAATATATTTATGAAGGGTTCTTTCGAAAATTGTTATTTCTTCTGTGCTCCATTTAGTGACATCTTTAGGAATAGATGGATTCTGAGCAAAGCTCCAATTGATTAAACTATCCCAAATATCAACTTCTTCTAAACTTAAATCATCTCGTTTCAAAAGTGATTCCAATAGAGGAGTTTTGATATTTAGAAATTTATCAGAGTATAATACCTTTTTTGGGTCTTCACAAATTTTTTCAAGAGAAAAATTCCATAATTTTGTTAAGGACTCGTGTTGGTAAATTATTTCAAGAATTCCTATAGGATTTTGTTGTAAAAACTCATGATGTTCTTTAATTAAATATTCTTCAATTTTGGGAACTAAAGATTGGATGTTAAGTGTATCTATTGCTATTAACAAATTTAATAATTCAGGTCCTTCCAATTTTGTGAAGTCAATTTTTCCACAATATATAAATCTGAAATAAAAGAAAAATTGTGTTATGATAAGTAACATGATATGTCATCACCACCGTACATTTGAATTTATTTATTTACCTCAATAGAATTTTAAAACATTTTGGAGAAATGTTGGGTATTTTAAAAATAAATTTTTCTTCTCTCTTCTCAACATTTTTCTTAGTTAATTCATTAAGAAAATATTGCGACCTGATACGTAGTATAAGCGAATGAGCATGTAGTTCTTTAACGTCTTCATTGTCACCGACATAAATAATTACATCATGTCCTTCGTCAATTTCAAGTAATTTTTCATAATCATTGGCAATTTCTTGACAATACTCTGAGGACATTTCGGCAAGTTATAAATTTACCGAAAAAAAAAAAAAAATTTTCATTTATATATACTAATCCGGAAAAATCGGATGTTGTGACACCCGTAAAACAATGCTAATTTTCTTATTACGATTGTCAACGTTTTAGGTTGATCCTTAATTTTCATTTGTATATTGCTTGCACGATAATCGAAATCTGAGATTTAAATGTTACATACATACCGTCTAGGTGTGAGTATATCAATGTTTAATAAAATACTTTGGTAATAATCTTTTAAAAAATTAAAATTCATAAATATCTTCTGAATTTATATAAATAATGACATTCAGCTAAAGAATATACAAATTTCGTAAAGTAGTCGTGTCGAATTTTTCGTAAAATGAAATATCGATTGTAATTAAATATAAATAATCTGGTGAATTTAAAAACTTATTACTCGTTAATAATTCAGGATCCTTGAAATGTAAAAATTACAATTTGGTTTATATATCATTTTTATTTACTATACCATAAAAATCATTTCCTTTTCTCAACATTTACATCTTGCGACCTGATACCTAAACAATGTGAATGAGTATATAGTTCTTAATGCCTTCGATAATAATATTAATAACCATTAATTAAGCAAATTTAGTTTGACATTAAGACTTTTATCGATTGCAAGATCCCAAAACTTATTATCAATAAAAATAATGGTTTTGGTAAGATACTTATACCTACTTGAAAGTAAATAAAATTGACGATATTGTTGTATTCAGTGCTTTCGTTTATGTATTTATTAACAATTTGTATTGTAAGCAGAAGTATTAATTGAATAAAAATGAAGTAATATTGATGCTAAATTTATTTAATATTATCAATTCGATCAGTGTTGCCTCAACGTTGGCGCTCTACACTTTCGCTATGTCAAAATATTAAAATGGTAAATGCTATCACTTAATAGAATTGCGCAATTACAAATTATTACATAAAAATTGAATATTAAACTACTAATAAAATCGGAAATTAAAAATAAACGATGTTACAAATGCGAAATAATGCGAAATCTATAGTTAAAACGGCGAAAACGAAAATATCGCGTAGGTGTTAAGGGAAGGATTTGAGGTATGCAAAAATATAACAAGGGTGAATGTGGAATGTTAATCAGTTTAAGGATTTCCGGCTTGTATATACAGTATAAAAAAAATACTAGGCCAGCCTGGCGCTCTGAACATTTTGTCATAACAGCCTGACAACTGCAAATATCAAAAGTGATTCTCATGCGGAATTATGTCGATTTCGGGCGGAATTATAATCGCCGCGGTATTACGTCATATAAGGCACGGTACAATTTTGCGGTCATATAATTCTAGATGATAAATTCTCTTGAATTATATATATAATATAAGTCAGGATTTTTCAAAAGGACGCACTCGAAGAGATTTTCACTTTGGGAATAATTGAAAATCTCATTTTAATATCAAAGGATTTGATGGCTTTTGCCGTCGAAACTGCAGAAAAAATTTTACAAAAGTCAAAATTAGTTTCAAATTTGGCACCTATCGAAACCTATGTATGGAGTTCATATTCAATACGGCTAATGCACAATAATTTAACACAGAACGTTTTCATTAAGATTTCGGCAAAACTGTCGAAACTTTATAATCAATATATAGATATTCAAAAGATCTCAAAATCTTTTGTTTCTTCATAAAATTTCTTTATTTAATAAAACGTAACAATAAATTACTAAAATAAGATGAATAATGTAAATACTTATCTTTTAATAACTTGAAATACTTAATAATCATCCACATTACCAACATTGAGATAATAAGAGCTGATGCACGACCAAAGACCTCATCATTAAATGCTAAATCTTTATGGCCAAACATAGGTCCAGCACTTGCCCAACAACCTATAGAATTTTGACTCCCAATACTATACCATCCCTACTAGCACGAAAAATTAAATTAAACCTATAAGGCATGTTCTTTACATTGTAATATAAATCGTTCTTCTTATCGATCCAACTCGAAAATATGACAAAATGCCGAGATTTAACCAATATGGAGTTTATTGAAATCTAGGCGGTTGTTTTTAAATATTATATTTGATTCCTTATTTGGTGCCAAATAAAATTTAAGAGGTTATTAATTAAACCCTCTGGTAGTAATTTTCCAAAAGGAAGTACTTTTTCAAGAAATCTTCTGAAGAAATATGATAAAACCTAACCGAATGAATATATCTGCGAATAGTTATTTCCATTTTTAAAATTTCAAAAGTGCTCCATTTGGTGACATCTTTAGGAATAGTCGGCTTCCGAGCAAAGACCCACTTAATTAAACTATTCCAAACATCAATTTCTTCCAAACATAAATCATCTCGTTTTAAAAGTAATTCCAATAATGGTTATTTTATTCGGAATTAAATAACGCTTTAGGAACTTCACAACTTCTTTCATAGAAACATTCAATAATTCCGTAACGGACTCGTGTTGACAAATAATTTGCAAAAGATCATACTGATCTTTAATTAAACATTCTTTAATTCGAGATATTAAAGATTGGAGCTTAAGTGCATCGACTGCTACCGACAGTTTTAACAATTCAGAACCTTCTAATTTCGTCAAGTCAATCTTTCCACAATACATGAATCTGTAATTACAAAAGAAAACGTGTATATTAAAAACAGGTTTCACATAATTATTTAATATTTATTTATTTAATTTACCTTCTTTATAGAAACTTTGCTTCCTTACTATTCAGTAACTGCATAGTACCTATTAGGCTGCGATTAAGCTACTATTAAGTAAGTTAGTAATCATATATTTACTATTTAGTCACTTTGTAGTTAATGCGTATTAAGAAAACCAAGTTTCTGTAAAGTTAGGATAATTTTAAAAAGTTGCGAAGAAATCTTGGGCAATTTTATGATAAATTCTCCCTCCCTTTCTCAACATTTTCTTTAGTTAATTCATTTTGAAAACATTGCGACCTAATACGTAAAATATTTGAATGAGCATGTAGTTCTTTATCGTCTTCATTTTCACCGACATAATTAATCACATCATGTCCGTCAATTTCAAGTAATTTTTTCATAATCATTGACAACTTCTTATTAACATTCTAACGACATTTTTATTGTAAGTTAATTGAAAAATAAGTTTTTTCAATAGTTATTGTTAAGTTAATATTTTTATTAACATACTATAATAAAGGAGGATCGATGTTTAGTATGAACCAGATTTCTGGGCATTTGAGCGATGAAAAAATTTCCTTTTTCTCAAAAAATTCTCATTTTTAAGCGATTAGAGTAACGCCAATGACCGGCCATTATTATAAACCTTTTATTACCTTATACTTATACTAATACTAACACTAACACTAACACTAACACTGATACTGAAAACTAACACTGACACTGACACTAACACTAATACTAACACTAAAAGGGAAAGGATAAGGTAGAGGAGGAATCTACTTCAAGGAATAAAGGTTGTTTAAATTTTTTTTTAAAAAAAAAAGATTCAGATCGGTCAGCTCATCGCGGTGATGCAGTCAGGTGCATGATGAAATTGTTTTTTTATTCTAATATTATGTATTGTCTATTCTTATTGTTGGTTATTTTGTTTGTAACTTTTTTTTATTATTTTATTTTACTCAAAATATAATAGATTTTCTTTGATTTCCGACTCTGAACAATTCAGACTTAGACAAATATGAGTGCTATATCTTTCAGCTTATCGTAGTGGTGTAGTCAAGTCATGTGATAATTTGAACTTTTTTTTGCATTGATTAGGATTATTATCACTTTTTATTATTTATTATTATTATTTTTTAATAAAATAAATAGATCGCGAGTGGGGTAAAATTAATAAAAAAAATCATAAAAAAAAATAGATTGCGAGCAGGGATTAAAAAAATTAAAAAAAATTAAAAAATAACAAAAAATAAAGGGATCGTAGGGGTAAAAAAATGATAAAAAAATAAAAATTAAAAAAAATAAAATCAGAAGGAGGTGATGAATAAAATAATATATATATATATAAGCTATAAAACAGTAAAAAAAAAAATTCATATCTCATTAATAATCACTTTTTTGATTTTGTAGGCTAGGAATGATTTCGCTCATATGGACTAGTGTTCCGAAAGGGTCGAATCGGGTTGGGTTTGAGGATGTACTCAGACTCGACCCGTTCATAAAAACCAACCCGTACAAATACCTGGGTTAATATTTATAAAACCCGACCCGTTATAGTTTGACCCCCGGATAACCCAGGTCAAATAAAATTTTTAACAAATTTATTTATGATCAGCAAGACAATAGTATGTATATCGCACAACTTTTACAAAAAAAAGATTCTAATTAAGTTTTATTTAAATTTTTATGATAAAATTATAAAATATATTCTAATTAAATCCTCTTTA